TGTGGGGACTCAGTTCTTGCACCCCATCTGCTGAGAGAGGCCTCTGGCCCACAGCAGCCCATACCTTGCTGAAGAACCAGTCCTCAGCATCCTTGCGGTTCTTCTCTGCCATCTTCTCGTACTGGTCACGCATCTCCGACAAGATGCGACTCAGGTCCACACCAGGGGCGGCGTCCATCTCCACGTTGATCTCGCCACCCACCTGGCCTCGCAGGGAGTTCATCTCCTGTGGCGGACAGGGAGTGTGGTGTGGGTATCCGGGCCTGTTCCAATCTCTCACTCCCAACCCTTCCCAACAAGCTCTCCAGACCCCTCCCAAGGACTCTTCCCTCGTTCTGTCTGCCCTCTACCCTCTGACCCTCCTAGTGAGTTTTGTGCACCTGCTCTGAATGGACTCTGCCTCCACCATCAGACTGGGGGCACTCTGGATGTAGGTTCTGTGTCTCCCCCATTAGACTGAGGGCTTTCCAAAGATAAAATCTCATTCTTAGGCATGTGCCCCCAGAATATCCCCTCTAACTTCCAAATTTCTACATAAGGCCCAGTTTCAAGGATTTGAGCTCAGATTTGAGGGAGGCTAGGGGGCGGGAGGGAGGCAAAAGAGGCCTCTGTGGGCCCCTGGAATGTTCCTCAGATGCAGGAAAGCAGGAAGGAGACTGGTCTGCACCCTGGCTCTGGAACCCCAGGGGTCAAGGCTCCACAGATGGGGCAGCCCTGGAACACCTGCTCTGCACTCTTCCCTCAGCCCAGCCCTAGAGCCCTGCCACCCCATCCTCCTCACCTCCTCATGGTTCTTTCTCAGGTAGGCCAGCTCCTCCTTCAGGTTCTCAATCTGCATCTCCAGGTCGGCTCTGGCCAAGGTCAGCTCGTCCAGCACCCGGCGCAGGCCATTGATGTCGGCCTCCACGCTCACACGCAGGGCCTGCTCCGTCTCAAACCTGCAAAGGGAACCAGAGACTTCAATCTAGATACTTGGACTGGCAGGTCCAGGTCCTGGCCAGCACCCTGCTTATCCAGGGCTCTAAGGGCTTATGAAAAATGATGATGGAGAGGAGTGGAAGCAAATTCCAGCCCTGAGGCCCTGGGAACAAGTAGGGCAAGGCCCTACCCCCACCTGGCTTCTTGTTTCTCTCCTCTCTGCCTCTTGCCTCCCCTTGCTCTCTTCCATCACCCGTCTAAGCCCAGCGATCTTCAAAATTTGCTGCAACCTGAACTAAGAGGTAGACTCCCCCACACCCAGCTCTTGGCCTATATCCCACAAGCAACCGAGGAGCCCCAGGGTGGGGAGGGGTGCCCCCAGTTCCTCCCCAGCTCACTGGTGAAGGCTTACTTGGTGCGGAAGTCATCAGCAGCCAGACGGGCGTTGTCAATCTGCAGCAAGATACTGGCGTTGTCCACGGTGGCCGTGAGGATCTGAAGAGATGGGACAATAGTCACATCACTGGGTGGGGTAGTTCAGCCCAGACCAGGGTTCTGAGGTGGGTCTTCCTGCCTGGGGGCCAGGAAGTGGCTGCCTCCTTCAGGAAGGTTCCCTTACCTCCCAGCCTCTCCCCTTCATTGTGTGTAATTGTTGACATAGTTTGGGCCAGCCAGAGTCTGATGCGCTGAAACTTGCCTCCTGATCCCCTAGGACCTGCCTCCCCCAGCATAGACTCCCGCAGGAGAGCTGGAGAATGGGAGGGTGCCTCAGGGCAGAAGCTAAACCAGGATCTCAGAAAGCATAGGGGACGTGGGCAACCCCACACTTTAAGTTGGGGAGATGGTGCCCCTGAGAGTCTCCCCAAAAAAGGGAGGCTAAAAGAGTCCTCACTAAAGAGTATTTTCAAATCAGAAGCCAGGACCCCTGCTAAGCCTTGACCTAGGGCTCCAGCAGGCAGGCCCACCCCCCAGGTTTGCTCAGCCCCTGCTCTTGAGAGAGCAGCAGGAGGAATAGGAAAGCCAGAAATATCCCCAAATAAGGCTCAGAAGAGGCCTCCTGAGGCCCCGCCCCTTCTCTCCTGTCTCCATCTTCCAGCAGGTGCCACCAGATGCTCACTTGAACCCCACATCCCAACATTGCCCAAAATCCCCCTATTGCTCCAAGGAGAGAGGTGCCCACATATCTGGCAGCTTCATGAGCCCTGCCCAGCCCTCCACGTGTGTCTATTTGCCTTATCATACCACTGCACAAGGTGGCAAGCTCTGTGATGAAGAAACTGAGCCTCAAAGGAGCTCCATGAGGCCCATTTGTCCCTGGCCCAGCCTACCACCCCCCCAAAAAATAGTATGAGCCAAAGAGCAGCCCCAAGGTGGGCTCCCAGAGGCCAAGCTGGAACCAAACTGTCCTTGGCTCCCTGACGCCCTATGACAGCCTTCAGGCAGGGTTCCAGGTTTGGGGAAGAGAAGGGGGAGAAGTCATGGCCCTCACAGACCCCCCTCCTGTAGAAGGGCCCACCTTGCTCTTCAGGTCCTCGATGGTGTGGTAGTAGTGGCTGTAGTCACGGGCGGGCCCCGGGGCCTGCTTCTGGTACCAGTCTCGGATCTTCACCTCCAGCTCAGTGTTGGCCTCCTCCAGGGCGCGCACCTTGTCCAGGTAGGAGGCCAGGCGGTCGTTGAGGTTCTGCATGGTGGCCTTCTCACCTCCTGCCAGCAGCCCGTCAACAGCCCCAAAGCTGCTGCCATAGCCACCGCCAGAGCCGAAGCTGTAGCAGCTGGAATAGCTGCTGCTCCCGAGGGCACTGCCCAGGCCACTGGCAGACCCCAGCCTGCAGGATCCAGCACCCAGGCTACCAGACAGCCGGCAGGAGGTGCGGGATGCACCGCCGCCCAGGCCGGAGGAGCCCTTGATGGAGCTGGAAGAGGTGAACTGGCGAATGGTGGTGGTCATGGTGGTGGCAGCAGGCAGCAGGCAGGCACAGAGTGAGTGGGCTCAAGAGGTGAGAAACCTAAAGTGCGTGTTGCTACTGGGGCTCGTTTGCCTCCTTTATAGTCCAACAAATGGGCGGGAGCAGGGATTTCAACAGGCTTGCTCTTCTGTTTCCATTCCCCTGGGCTTTCATCACCCCTGGCGGTTTGCCAGCTCCCAGGTGGCTGTGGGCACCCCCTCCCACCACCGAGGCTTTGCCTCATTTCTCCGAACCCCTATGCTGGGTGTCTGAATGTGCGTGTGCGTGTCTCTGATTTTAAGCCTGTCACCTGTGATTCAGGCAGGCCCTCAAGCTACGCTTTCCCATGACCTAATACGGAGAAGAAGAGAGGCAGGATGTCACCGTCACCAGGCCCTCCCAGGCAGCTACCACCCCAGCCCTGCCTGCCCAGCCCTTGTATCTGGTAGGGAAATGGTTGGGAATCTGGCAGCCCCCAGCCTGAGATTACTGTCCTTCAACACACACTACACATGGTCCTGTCCCTGGGCTGGGAGCTGGGGAGACAGCGAAGATCGAGCCCCCATCCCACCTTGGAACCTGGATGTAAACCCCTGGGCTCAGCACAGAACGCAGCAACTCTGTCAGGTCTCAGATGATCACCCCATTTTATAGATAAGGAAACTGGGGCTTGAGGGATAGGGTCCCATTGCCCCACAGACCTGCAGAACTGGTCTGGCAGAATTTCATCCTTCGTCCCACAGCACCAGACCCCCTTCCCCCAGGGCTCCAGGCACACTGGCCCCCCTCTGAACAGCCCTGACACCAGGGAAGTACTCCAGGGGCTATGATTCCATCTGGCCAGTTTTCTGACCTGCCCCATCCCACGGACTCCCTGGTGACTCAGCCGAACCTTTCCCCACCTCCCCCTAACAGGTGGGTGGGTCCTGGGCTTGGGTGGGCAAAGAGGAGCTTAGCTACAGAATGGGGAAACGACAGCTGGGAAGGGAGCATCATGGTAAAGGGAACTGAGAGAACTAAAGGCCATGCCCCCTTCTACCTCCCTAGTCTTCTACACCCCAAGAGGCCTCCGGGTAAGGTGAGGGGCATACACCTTAGGTTTCAGTCTAAGGGCACTGCCCAAGAAGAGGGTCTTCCTGAGCTCCCAGCCAGTCCCCCCTTACACAGGGTCTTCCCCAAAGGCCCCACGCAGTCCCCTGACATGGCCCCTCAGGATGGACCCTGAGACCCTACAGCTCTACCCTGCCCTGCCCACCACGCCTGGCCCGGCCTGGGTCCCAGGGTCCCAGCAGGCACGCTGGGCGGAATGTGGTCGTGTCTCAGACTGCCGATGGCTTCCACTTCCCAGACAGGCCCAGACAGCCCCCATCAGCAGCTGAGAGAGTTTCTCCAATAGCCCGGCAGCTGCCAAGCCACCAAAGCAAACATGATGCCCCCCCACGCTCACATGCACACACCCTGTCCCACACACACCCCTGAGTTGGGCAGAGCCCGTCTGGTTTCCTGGGCTGTCTGTGCTGCGGTCACCCCCTCTCACCCATCAATACTCTGGACCACTCCTTCAGAAAAGCCCCTACCCAGCCTCTCTTCCCCAAGACCCGCCAGAGGCAAAGGTGGGAGTTTTCTATATTAAGCATAGCTCTTTGGAACGTCTAAGGGCCCTCCCAGGGACCAGCGCAGGCCATGGAGACCCCAGGGGCTGATCCTTAGGAACTTTCCCAGCTTGTTGGGCTGTCCCACCCCTGCACCCAGTCCTCCTGCCTCCTTCCCTCTCCTCCTCCCAGGAGCCCCAGGCCTGACTGGGGTGGGTAAAACAGGTTGGCAGGTGAGAAGCACCACCCAAAACTTCAACAAACTCTTCTCCTCCCCTAGTCCCTCAGCCCACACTGCCCCACGCCAATGACCACGCCAGATCACACAAGGCACTGAACTTCAGGCAAAGCTTTAATAGTGGTCACTGGGGCAAACTCAGGAGGCCCCTCCTCGAGGGGCTGCAGGAAGCAGATACAGAAAGGCAACAGCTCTTGGGCAGTGGCCCCGACGGGCACTTGGGGCTCAGCAGTAGCATGCTAGGATCTGGAGGCGATGGCCACCCCATGACCTTCAAGGCTGGGCTATTGCATGTGGAAAGGGGCCTCAGTGGGTAGAGCGGTGGACCTGCTCCCGGGAGGCTACCACCTTGCCATCCTGGACTTCCTCCACAATGGTGCGCACCTGGCGGCTGGTCACAGAGGCTGCGGATGGTAGAGGAAGGGGGTGCAGGGAACCTCAGGCCGGAGCCCCTCCCCCAGTCTCCCACACAGAAGGGTCCCACCTCCTCTGGGCAGGATGGGGCAGACTCTTACCTTCTCGAGTGGGCTGTGAGGCCAGAAATGAGGAGTACTGGGTGGCCAGGCTACAGGAAGGGAAAGGGAGACCTGTCAAGCCAGGGGTGCTGGCTGGGAACCCAACCCCCTGGTAGGAGAAGCAGCTGGGGAGGCCTGGGGCAAAGGGAGAGAGGTCCCAGCAAATCAAGGAGAAATCAGAGCTGGGAGTGCACGGAAAAGAATGGCAACTGCAAGGGTCAAAGGGCACAGGCCCAGTGGACCCAGTGGACAGGAGTAAGGAAAGGAGACGCCCCAACACAGGCCCAGAGGCACTTTGCAGCTAACCAGGGATTTACAAGGAGAAGCTGGGCAAGTGGTTTTTCCATATCTAGAAGGGCCCAACAAATAGACTCAATTAAAGCAAGAAAGACTGTGGTTAGCCTATAAATGCACTTCACCATCTTCAGGGAACAAAAAAGCTGGAATACATGACTCAGCATGGAGACTCCAGGATGTTCTCAGCCCCTTTACAGTAGGGCCCTGATCCACCCTCCCAAGTCCAAACCAGATCCCTTCCCTGATCCTCACTCCATCCAGGGTAATGGCATCACCAACCACAAGTCATGGAACCAGAAGCCCAGGGTCGTTGTTACCCAGGCCTTCATGTGCTCACTCAGCACTTACTGAGTCTCCCTGCGAGCCACACTCGGCCGGAGTGCAGGCCTTTCCCTGCCCCTGCCCCTGCCTCACAGCAGGCCTGCCTAACCCTCCCTGCTCCGGCCTCCTGACAGGTCCCCAT